AGGGCCCCAACTAGAGCCCCATAGTCACCTCTTTCAGCTGGGCTAACCAGCAGCAAGCATGTTAAAGCTTCATCAGTAAGACACATGGCCAGCTGAAGTGCTTTAACGTCCTCTGACCAGCCACCCGATCGAGCCAACAGTTCGAATTGTGCATGGAAAGCCTCTCAGTCAGCTTTACTATTATATTACACAGAGCGCCACCATCGGGCCCCGTTTTTCCAAAACCAGCATCTGCAGCTAGGCTCCCGGCCATCTGTTTCAGGTGGGCTACGTGTTCCGGAGACTGGTCAAACCCTCTCTCATGCCCCGGCGTCGCCACATAACCACCATCCTGCAGTTCCTCTGTCACTCGCACCCCAACCTGGCTCCTCACCCGTCGCGCTGCCATCCAGTTAGGTGTTTATCAAGGCCCTATAAGCCAGAGGCTAAGGCTAATGGCAGACGTAACTCCGGCATTTCACTTCTGACACCAAATGTAGTGTCCCGCAGGACACAAGGAAGACAACCTTGAGTGCCGACGAATAGTCGCTTTTTTATTAACTCCACACAACCGGTTACTGTTGGCCGTAACCATGCCAAAACAACAAATCCCGACAACAATAAGAAAAAGAAACAACCTGCTAACTCCCTCTGTAGCTCAAATCCCCCTCACACTTCTCTCCCTCCCGCTCTCACACCTCTTAACCCCTGAAGCTCCACACCCATCAAGGAACCATAACAATTTAGAACATCATAACATGCCAAGTGAAGGATCACTACAATATCTAATAAAACAGCATTGTGGGTATGATTGATTATAAGACAACAACACAAAGCAAATACTGTATATCTGCAGTATATGAAAAAAGCCATTTGCGTTTTTAAAGTGATCCAGTAGGTGGCAGTACTGGCAAAGAGAAGGTTTAGTGAGACTTAATTTTAGTTTCTGCATTGTCTTGTTATTTATATATTTGTTGGGCTGTTGCTGAAAATTATATAAACATATTTATATATATATATATACACATACACACAGAGAGTTACATACTGTAAACACACACCTCCCTTTGCTTTGAAATGAAACACCTGCATGGTTCACACGTACAATTTACAGTCATTTGTAAAGGAAGAGAAAGGAATTCTATATCTTACACACTCCCCGGCTCACTATTGCACAAGAAACAAATAATAGAGTCACATCTCAGAACTACCACCCTCAGGGTCATGCACTGCATTATATACTAACTTATTGAAACTGTTGAAACCATAGCATTTCCTGTGCCATGAGATATTTTTAGTGCAAGTGATGCATTTGTGCAATGCAATACAGGACTGTGGTTTGCATCTTTGCTGTATTACTGCTGAGTAAACTACCAAGAACCCAGTACAATACCAAGAAACCCATACACGACTGCCGAGCCTGCTAAAATACCATTAGCTGAAGCAAATGTTCGTAATATCCTTTTCTACATGAACCTGACTTTGTTGCATAGCTGCAGAAGTGATACATGCCGCAGGCAGGAACACAGTGAATTCTATCTTCAAGCCTGAAGTTGATTTAGCAGAGGAGAAATGTTTCAACATGCCTACAGTTAGAACAGAAAGGAACTGTAGAGGCAGTGAGCCACATTTTTACTCTTCTTAAGAGTGCTGTAAAATCCAGAGAAGTGAATCATTCTGCTCAGGTAAATAGTCTGATAATACTGTACAGTGTGTACACCTTCATACACAACTTTCCCAATTTACACTTCTCATACACTGCAACATTGTGTCGTTGCTACAGAACTTTTGCGACACATGTAAACTGTGAACCTTTTCCCATAATATACTTGCCCATAGACTACCACTGCTCTTCCCTTCCTCCCATCAGTCTTTCTTGTCAACGGGCTGCAAACTGCTGGCTCCGTCAGAAGGCCTGCTCTCCTCCCATGCTGCTTGAAGTGGGGAGGTAGGGCCAAATGGGCTCAGCATTGTCTGCCATCGTCAAGGCCAGACCCCAAGTCCGGTCACTTAATCTCTTGACTTGTTCTCAATACACAACCAAAGCTGCCAGGAAGGGACCTGTTTGTGTGCTCTTCCATCTCCCTGAGGTGCTTTGAAGTTGTGCCCACTGTCCTTCAACCTGAACTACAGGATATAATAAATCATTTTTGCACAGTCACATAAAAAAAAAGAAGAACTAAAATACCAAAAAAGAATGACTTTGCAGTTCAGGCAGAATAATTCACTACATTGTAACAATATTAAAAAGGCCGCTGTATGATATTTAACAAAAAGACACTAATATCTAGTGACTGACCTTGTGAGTTCACAACAAAAACCTCAACATCAGGTAATAGTCTCACCTACCCCAATCCCCACCATCCCCCCAAGTCTGCTCTCACTACAAGCCCATGGCTGTTTAGACCCCACCCTCTCCATGATGACCAATCAAGTTCAAGGATCAGACTTTTCAAGGATAGAGACCCTAGATTTGTCTTCAGAGTTAGAACGTCTGAGAGCAGCACCTCATCTCAAAACTTTAAGGAGGACACATTAACATGCAACACTTCTCTGGTAAGTTTTGTATTATCAGATCTAACTTTTGAATTATGCTTTTGCAGTGTGACATGTGAAGAGGGAGAGTGTACTGTAATGATTTGCTCATTTTGGGCAAACTGCATTTGGCCATTAAGAATTAAAAAGTTTACATTTGCTTTTTTATGATTATTAGTGAGTCCTTTGTGAGAATGTTTTTCCTATTTTTAGTACTGCTATAAACTCCATGCTGCTATAAACTAGCCATATGTTACATGTTATCAGTACAGTGGCAGAACCTTTTACATTTATTCTTACTTTGTATTGCCTCCACTGAGTCCAACCTGAAACTGAGCATGTCCCGATCCCCTCCAGCAGCTGACTCATGCCAGCAGGGCTGCATCAGGATGACCCTGGAGAATGCTGATCTCTGGAAGTCCTTTCACAGCACTGGAACAGAGATGATTATAACAAAGCATGGAAGGTATCAACACTGTCACACTTAGTTAGCCACTGAAAATATGAGTAGTGCTTTGTATCATTTATCACTCACATGAATTTGGTGTCATCTAGACTATTGTATGCTAGAGAGAAATATTACATTGTAACTTGGGATGGCTGAGCATTCAGCAACAGATCTCTTTCACCGTGGCCAGAATGCTTCACAGTGCGATTTATTTTAGGGTACCTTTGTTTTTGTATAATAAAATGACTTATTGTGGTGATGTGCACAATTATAACACTAGATTGGCTGTTAACAGTCTTAAGGATCTTTTCATTTTCAAAACCTAATTTCATGACAGACAGTTGACAGCTTTAGAGCTGTGTTAATCTGAAATAAGATGCCATTCAAGTTAAGAGTTATGAATGGCAGATTAGTTTTTAGAAAATCAGTGCATTCAATTAAATTTCACTTTCAATTTTAATCTCTTTTATACAGTTCTTAATTGTGTAATTTTGTCTTTTCTCATCTCATTTCAATTTAATTAATTGTTTAAATTGCTTAATTAATTCTTTTTAAATTTCTTTCCTTATTGCTGTATGTGTATTTTATCTTGTGGGCTGTGTAAAATGTGTAGTTGGTTGTTTGCTGTTTTTTTGAGTTGTGTTACAATGTGTTTTGAATGTTGTTGAGTTGTTTTGCCTGCAGTTGAATTGTTGTTGGTTCAAGTGTGTTTTTATATTTGGGGATGTTATGTAATGTTATATATGGTATTACTGTTTAAATCCATGTTTTGCATGTATGTTGCTGGTGATCTGGATGCCCTGCAATCAGCTAGTGGGTGTCCCCTTTGTAAACAATAAACTTAATTTTCCTTATGCAGAGCAGACACTGACTGCACATACTACACACAGTCCTGTTTCAAGGACAAGATTTGACAATTTTGCTAAACATTTTTAAACATTCAATGACTTATTTGTTTGTGTATTTGTTTCAGGAGAATGTTTCCACTCTGTAGTGTCAGTCTATCTGGGCTTCAACCTTTTGCCAATTATGTCATCATGATGGATATGGTTCCTGCAGACAGTTTCAAATACAAGGTAAATTCAAATGCAACACTCCACTGAGTACTGTATGTGTTGTTCGATTCAAATAGAACATGTTGCAATGTGAAACTCTGATTTCTTGATCTTCATTGTTTTCTGCATATTGTTTGATTTGCTGATACAAATTGGGGGGATTAAAGCCAACCAACGGCAGTATGCAAAGCACAGCAGTCTGCAGCCAGACTGCAGTGACCACTGCATATCAAAGCCTTTCATTGCTTCCTGTTTGTGCACTCTCAGCTGGAGGCCCAATCAATTAGCATCCCTCCTCATTTACAATCAGTGAATGAGAATCAGTCAGACATCCATACATTCAGCGGCTCTTACATCAACTGCTCTGGCCCATTTGGTCACAGGTATTGCTTTTTCACACTTGAAAACAATGAAGTACACAATAAAGAGAAAGTACTGTAGGAGAACGTTACAGAATTTTCTTTTTGAATGATGGTGAATTTGTAGAAATAATGTAAAATCTGTATCCATATAAGTGACGTAAAAAAAAGAACTTCCCTTGTGAATAAACAATAAAGATGTTTTGTGCACCACAGTTCTCTAACATCATGACAAGATAGGAAAAAAGGATTTCATGCTTCATAGAGAGTTCAGATGCATCAGACATGTCCTGAAGTCTTACACTTAGTAACCTTGTATTCCTCTGTCCCACCAAATCTCTGTAGTGGAAAAAAGAACAGTGGGAGATCGTGGGGAAGGCAGAGCCCCAGCCCCCGTGTCGGATATACATGCACCCAGACTCCCCTGCCACAGGAAATCACTGGATGAAGCAGTCATTGTCTTTCCTCAAGGTGAAGCTCACCAACAACACCTTGGATCAGCGCGGTCACGTAAGAGACCAGTGAAATGACTATGCTCAGTATATTTTTCACTTTTCTCAACTATGTAGTTTGCTAACTGTGCTCTTTTTCCTCATCAGATCATCCTGCACTCCATGCATCGCTATTACCCAAGGTTTCATGTCATCCAGGCAGACAGTCCTTACACTGTCTGCTGGGACCCAGTTCAGACTTTCTCTTTTCCAGAGACAACCTTCACTGCAGTGACTGCTTATCAGAATCCAATGGTACAGATTTACAAAAAAAAAAAAACTTTTAACCCCTCACTTAGCAGCTAATTTGTTTATCCAGTAATGCACACTGCATTCTGTTCAGATTAACAAAACAATTGTTTTCTTGCCTGTTTTAAGATAACCAAATTGAAGATTGACCACAACCCGTTTGCTAAAGCATTCAGGGAGGGTGGCACCCATTCCCCCAGTAAAAGGTAGGAATTAATTTTTTAACAGGCACTGAATTTGTTGCATGGTTGTCAGAAGCAAGTCCAAGCTACTTTTCCATCTACCACAAATGAAAACTAGAAATTTGAATTCGTATATTGTACACCTTAATTTTCTAAACTTGGTGCATCTTAAAGTTACCTTTTTTAAATATGAAAAGACAAGTGTGCTCTGTATTTAAAGGACAGATGTTTTTAAAAACATGAGTAGTAAAAATATTCAGTTTAAAAAAATGTTCTACATATTTCTTTTTTCTTAGATCAAATCGAAGTCCTCCTGCAAAGAGAACTGCAATGGATGTAAAAGCTCTTTGCAACAGTCCTCCAGGTAATTTTTTTTATATTATTAAGTAAAAGGTTTATAGTCACACAGCTGCCAATGTCTCAACACTTCTATGAGAGCTTGTTAAACACTATATTTCCCTGTCAGGCCTGCAGAGGATGCCCTCCACCTCTCAGTCAGCTCAGATAGAAAAGAATCACGCCTCCACACAGCAGTCACTGAAGGAGGTTCACTTTCCAGCCTGGGGTCTGGAGCAGGATCCATCTGAGGGTCTCCACACTGAGCCCCTGGAGTTGCATGAGTATGACTACAGCTGTGAAGAACAGATGGTGCCTGCATCCGTGGCATACCAGCCCTACAGGTATTAGATTATGATTTATAGTATCCAGGATGAGATAAAAATCCAATGAAACTTAGACAGTACAGGAAAATAAAAAGCAAAATATGGTGCATAAGGGTCAACTCTTTCACTTTACCAGATCTGTGGAGTACACAAGATTCCCACCCGCTTCCAATGACACAGATGGAGCACACAGCCTTGGCCATCCTTCACATCCTCCACTCACCACAGCTGAACACAGCACCCAGCAACATGGCTACCACCACCAAGTCAACACAGCAGGTTGGACCCAGTACCCACTCTTCTCCTACTCCTGTTGGTGAATTTTCACATTTGCAATGATGACACCATTGATGGAGGATAAAACCACTAAACTAACTGACAGGCCACTGCAGTTAAAAAAATTATAAGTTCATATAAAGGTCATGAATTTCAATAACATTATAATGTACAGACAGGTGACACATTAAAGGAAAAACCTGTTATATATGAGTGCTCTCTTCCAGGATAACAGTGCCCCCATCCATATAGGGCATGAGGGGTCTCTGAATGGTTTGATGAATATGAAAATGATGTGAATCATATGTTCTTCACAGTCAACAGATCTCAACCCATTTGAACACCTATGAGAGATTTTGGACCGATGTGTTAGACAGCATCACCATCTCCATTGTTCAAAACCTTTGAAAGAATAGTGTTAGTTCAGAGACTTGTAGAATCAATGCCAGGGTGCACTGAAGCTGTTCTGGTGGCATTGGGTGGCCCAGTACCTTACTAAGACCATTTATGTTGGTTTTTCCTTTTATTTGTCACATGTCTGCATATGGTGATAACCTGGAAAACAATGAAATTCCTCTCAAATGGAAATGTATATATTTGTCTTTGTATCCTTGATTATACATATGCTAGTACAGTTGGAGCTTTCATAGATGTCTGTGCTAAAGTAGGTACAGGGTTTTGAGATAATGTGCTGTATCCAGTCCGTTGGGAAATTATGGGCTCAAGGGTCTCAGGGTCTGTTTAGCTTGTAAAAGCATTTTGAGCATGTGTTGAAACGATTTGTACTTGTAAAAAAAAAAAAAAAGTTTATGAATGTGTGAATAAAATGTGTAAACGAATTATGTTACATAAAGACACTGAAAATAATTAAGCGTTTGTGAACATTTATGTACAGATAGAAAGCAACAAACTGCACATACAGCTCAAATTACGATTACGAATTATGAATGGTACGAATTCTGGCCATGTTTTTACACCTGAATCTAATTGAGCACTGACAATCCAATCACAGAGCAGAGTCAAATTGTCCAATCAGAGGACAGATGGGTCCTTCAACTTGGTCCCACCGCGGTTCCTGAAAGGTTGTTTGTAGTAATTCCAGAAGGATGACGGTGTTGGCTTTTCTGCTAGTCAGGTGGGTATCATTAAACATTTATTGTCCTGCGTCCTGTACATACTGTATGCACCGCGCAGGTGCTTCTTTGTTGTTCTGGAGTAAAGCAGTTGTACAGATGTATATTTTCTGGTTTAGAGCGCTACTTTAACTAGCATAAACCAGAATGTAATGCTAATGTAGCATGTTAGCAAATCTCTGCTAGCAAGAAACAATTCAAGGGTAAGTTAGCCGTACACTTTTTTTCATTGAACGTGTTCACTATCGAGCTAACATTTAAACCTGCTTAGTCTTGTAACTTCCCGTGTTGTACAGGCAGTCTAGTGGATGAAAGAGACGACACTAAAGTTGGTATTTGATTCAGTCTCCAAACCACATTTTCTCACGTGTTGGGTCTTTTTTTTTAAATCATGTTGTGAAAGGGTGTAAGGTATTCTAGAAAAAAACACTTTATTTATAACTGCAGTATAGAACATGTTAACAAGTTTCCCCTCATCTGGCTCACTTCAGACCAAGTCAACTCAGACCACTAGTAAAATCCGGACTAGATCAAGGAGAGTAACCTTGTTTGCGAAATCAATTTCTTAATTGTTAAAATGCCTCAAAGGGGAGTTTTGTTTTGCTTTCTTTCGTTCTATGTAGACCACATCAGACCAGGTTTAGGTCCAAAACATGTAGACTCGCCAAATCTGAACTAGATTATCAGGGACAATATGTAAAGACTCTTCCAGACACAGATCAGGTCTAGATCCAAAACTACTATATTTAAACTAGCCAAATCTGGACGTATTAAGAATAGGATAGAGATTTAACAGTTTCTGAATTATTTGGAATCTCTAAAATATTTAGGCTAGTGTTTCTCTCTGGCAGGATCCAGATATCTCCTTCTGAGGTAACAGAGACAACACATGCCCCGAGGTGTATTGAGAGGGCCTTGTATGTTGAATGAAAGACCACACATTCTACAATACAGAGATTACAGTTAGACATTTTTGCATTGTTTAAAAAAGTGGTGTATATAGTATTGCATGTCTACTTTTGAACCATGAAAATGGATGGTTTTTAAAAGCCTGAGCAAAAACAATGTATTTAGAAATAGGACAAAGGTTTCACTAATCTGATCAGTTTTAAGAAGTCTCTACTTTTCTTGATATTCTAGTCCAAATTTGGTTTGTCTTATTTTGGCTCTCAAATTGGTCTGATGTGGTTTATGTGGGGAAAACCACACTTTAGGCATTTTGACAAAATGAAATTGTTCGGGTAGCAGTGAACTGTTTTTAGCCAGTACTTGTTGTTGTTGTTTCAAATTAAAATGTAGATTAGCAGAGTCATATCATCTGTCCATAATTAACATTAGGACAGACCAACACAATACCGCTTTTAGATTGTTTATGAAGCATCACTCTGTAACACCAGTTGCAACAACTCCAATAGAGGGAGGCCTCTTCTATAGTAAAGCCTGTAGCTGAGCTCACATTAGTTTCAGTAATGCAGCACTGGTGGCAATCTATCACATTTCACGGGATGGTGTACACGGATGAGCATGAAGATTTGTCTTCTGTCCAGTTTTTGCATAGGTTGCATGAAAATGTTCTTCATACCACTTCAGTGTTTCTTGGTTGTTCTCTTTCTACAGTATTTCTCTTTCAAAATACTGCCAGATGTGCAAAATGATACTTTTTTTTTTCCCAATGGTGGAAGAAGAAGAAGAAGAAGTAGTAGTAGTAAGTACTTCTCTTTCAAAGTACTGCCAGATGTGCAAAATGATACCTTTTTTTTTCCAATGGTGGAAGAAGAAGAAGAAGTAGTAGTTGGATTCTCAAAGGTAACTACTCCATTACAGATAAAAGTCCTGCATTAACAATGGTATTTAAGTAAAATATTGACATCAAAATGTACTTCAAGTAGTCATCATGCAGAATTATGCATTTCACTTTAATGTAAATTGTAGTATCAGATAATACTGACTCATTATTGTGGTCATCACTTTAATGTTGCAGCTTGTAATGGTAGAAATTTTAACTTTTCTGAACCTCTGCTGGGTAGCTTGTACATTCCCATCAGAGATAAATTAATTCTTGTGTTTAGGCTTATACTGTATTTTCTTTTATTCATCAGATTCTGAGAAGTAACTTGAAACTCAAGTTGTCAAATGTAGAGTAAAAAGGTAAGATATGAAGCAGCAGAAAATTAATCAAAGTACAGATAACCTCAGTTGGACTTAAAATGTATAGCTGTTTTCTACCACTGCACCTGAGAACGTAAAATCTAAAATTTGATTCACTGAAATGTCTTGAAATATAATGCAGAAGTCAACTTGTAAGCAACTTCAAGTATCCTGAGTTGACTCAAAATTTGTCACAGGTCTGTTCCTCTGGAGTTCTTTGATGCAAAGAAACTACTTTCCATTCAGGTACAGTTTTGTTTTTGATCCAAGTGTTTACTTACTGGAATAAGTAAAACTTATGAGTAGTAAAACACCACTGGTGTTGAATCATAGCTCATCTTTTAGCAACAGGCTATACAATTCTAAAACCTCTAAGGTGTCATAGTAGCTATGCCTGCATTTCATACTGCCTGTGGGTTTCCAATCATTTTAAGGGCAATTTGAAAACCAAATTTGAACTTTACTACAGTCAGCTTTATGGAACTTGTAATATTTGATATTGAAACACTGCCCATCTTAATACTGATTGCTGTTTAATTTTAAATGTGCATTGAAGAGTGAGAGCAGACCAAGGAGCTGGGAATGTGGGTATTTGAGGCTGTGATAGAGGGAGAGCTTCATCTCATGGTGGAAATGTGTGAATACCCCAAGGTAATGTTGCTGGAGTAAGCAATTCTATCTGCATTTATAATTGGATTTCATGCTTCAGTAGAATGTCCTTTTACAAATCTCTATTTCTATGTCTTCCACAGCCTTCGGCAAGGCAGGCTGCATGTTTTCTGGGCACAGTACACTTTGTTTGCCCCAAGTTGATCTGGATATTCACTGAGGAACCACCCTTTACTCTGAACAGAATGCTAGACCCTGTGTA